AGCCATACGGAACTGTGAGTCAATTAAAACTCTTTCAGTCATAAATTACTCAATCTCAGAGAAGTTCTTTACAGCAGTGTGAAAATGGACTAATACAAATAGTAATAATAATAATAATAATATCATTTACTGCTTACCAGAACCATATGTAGGGTATTTTGTTCAATTTGGTTTCTGTTATACAGCAACAAACCAAATGACCTAGATTTTTCAACATTGAACAATCCTGTCATTCTGTGCAAGAGACTTCTCCCGAGCCAAGCCTGTCCAGTGAACAAATGCACAGTGTGGATCCAGATGAGATCATCATTTCATCTGTAACTTCAAGTACATTTAGAACCTAACCCCTGAATTAAACTTCCCCTTGCATAATTAACTATCTCTTTTTCTATTCTTTTATTCAGGATCACTTATCTAGCAAGATGGAAGACAAGTCTTTCAGCCTAGGTATGCTGAATTATACAGTTAATTCTACAACTTGAGTCTCAGTTTCTCTAATCTGAAAGATGAAGCTACGAGTGCTCATCCTTCTTTGCTCATAGGATTATTCTGAAGACCAAATGCGATGATGAAAGTGAAAGCACTCTGTAAAGTATAAACTGCTGTGCAAGAACAGCTCCTCGGATAATTACTGAGTAATTTCTATGTATCAGTGCTGTGAAAAACTCCGAGGATTTGAAATTGACTAGGAAGGTATTCCAAAAGAATTTCTATCATTTTTCATTAAATCTTAATATTTCCAGAGGATTAGTACATTTGAGGAATTGTAAGACACCCAAGGCTTTGATAGATGAATGACAAAAAATAAATAAGGATATGATGAAAGTAGTTTTCTGCAGAAATCACCTTAAAATAGAACTTCTTCAGGTCAAATATCTTAAAAAGGGACAAAAGGCCAAGAATCTAAGGAAGATTTGTTTAAATATAAAATAAACTCATAATAATAATGCCAACAATGATGATAATAGCCACTACCATTTACTTTGTATTTAATAATTGCTAGACACCATGATATGCATTTTTATGTACTGAATCTCATTTCTCACCACAAATTCAAGCAGTAGATATTTTCATTCCATTTTATAAAGGATAAACAGAGGTTCTGAGGAGTTAAGTAACTTGCCTAAAACTATATTGCTAGGAAGTAACTGATTCGAACCCAGGATATCCACATCTCAATGACTGGATGGTGTGGTGTAGTGAAAAGAGCATGTAGCAGAAGTAGGAGTTTGGGATGGGGACAGTGTGGAGGTGTCCTGTGTAAGGTGCCCAGACAGATAAAACTGATCGGGAGATCCCTAGACTTGCCCATGAGTGAGGATGTCCTGATGTATAAATATCTGCAGGTAGCCATGGGGCAGACGGGCTTTGCAAGTACCTGTCAAGGCATCAGACCTCCCATAGCTCAGCAAATCCAGCTATTGAAATTACACAGCTCTGACTTTGTGCTCACCAAGCTACTGCCCAATAGCAATTTAGTTTCCGGTGTACATTTGTCTCCTGTGAGGGAATATGCCAGTCATCTGAACTTATAATTTGAGTACACTTGAACAAAATCACCAAAGATGGATGGATAGGCCAGAGTACAAGAGTAGACTGACCTCCTGGGCTCCATCAACTCTGTGTGCCTTGGATTTAATTAGCTTTCTGGGTCTTCAAAACTGATAGTGAAATGTGGTTCTTGGGCCCTCCACAAAAATTCAGCCCTCTCAGAGTTTGGGCCTAGGCTGTTAGTCAGCCCTCATCTTTATCTTACACGAAATTGAACACAGAACCTACCATAGTTAAAGATTATCACCAAAACACACAGATATTAATTTTTCATGTTGCATCTAGACCTTTTGGCTTATCTTATTTCACATGACAAACCACAATACCATTTAAACACAATAGGATTTTGATTCTCATGTGTAAGTGTGTAGGAAGCAGTGTTTCAATTAGCATCACCAATGAAATTTAAAAGAAACAACTAAAATACATATTTTGCTAATGCTTGTTGTGTATCTGGGAGTTCCTTAAATGCTGTTGGCTAGTTTAGAAGACAGTGATGGATGCCCTGATCATGAACTTGGGCACATCAGCAGGGCACTGATGGAGCACCATGCCAAGAGCAGGAGCTCGGGGCTTGGGTGGACCTGGGTCTCATTTCTGGCATATCCTCCTATTCGTTGCATGAAATGGAGCCTGCCTGAACTTCAGAATCCACTTTTGTTAAGTAAGAATTAAGTACACCTACTAAAAAAATGATAAATGATGAGCGTTTTTTGTCTATCAGCAGCACTTCAATGGTAACCTGTAAGTCATTGCTCTTTCGAAGACATGATTAAAATTAAGCAGAATAATCACAATAATGATTCCCACATATTTTGCCCACAAGAGTAACAAAAAATAAATAATAAATGCAAAAAGTGGTCCTATGATAACTCTATTCCACAATTCTGTTTGTGTGTGTGTGGCGAGGGTGGCAGGGGGCGGGGGCGGGCGTTATTTTTACTGCTTATATCTAACCTGATGCTTCTCAGTTTTATTGGTAACATCAGTGAATGTTTGGTTTAATTTGTTAAAAAATCAGAAATATAATTTAAGTTCAGATACTTATCTCTCTGGTTAATAATTTAGCCCCTTTGAACATTTTATGTCTCTTTGTCATGCTGGAAGGGTAGGTACAGTCTGGAAGAACTCTGCAGAACTCAAGTCTTGGCAGATGTTGGCAGTAGCTTATGATAGTGGATATAACTGCTTCATGTACTTGGATTCAAAAAAGGATGCTTCTAGATCACCCTCTACTACTCTTCATGTGACCATTTAGCCAGTTCCTGACTGTCTCTTCTGTGTCAGACACTGTGCACATTTGCTCTCACTCTTGAAGCAACACACAAAATGTATTCTTCCACCCAGTTTCCAATTACACAACACCAGCAACAGCTAACTGAAGATCAGAGAGCTTAAGCTACTTACCTAAAGACAAACAGTGAAGTCACACACTAGATTCACATCCATTTTTGACGATCTCAAAGCCCTGTTTCCTTCTATTTCACCAAGTTGCCCTTCCTCATCTTTTCTAAGCCCCAGTTTTACCTTTTAAATGCCCTAACATGTGCTCTGCCTACTTCATTAAGTTGTTAAGATCATTCAAGAAGAAAATATGTATTCAAAGGCCTAGATTACATAAGGCTATGCAACTGTGGAATATTACCATTCTCTAACGAGATTATTAAAATACAATATTTGTAAACTTACGTGTATTAATCAATTCCGTAGTGATTGTGGTCATATTTTATGAATAAAATCAGAGCTGATTTGGAGTGAAGAAAGGAAAGTAGTGGAGAAAGAAGCCAACACTTACTGAATACCTGCTAAGTGTTAAGAATGCACCATATTTCATGTAATATAAATATTACATTATTGAGGCTAAATAATTGTCAATACAAGTCTTATGAGATCTTACTCTATTAAAAAGAGGCAGGAATTAAGGGTCAGATATGAAGCCACATCCCTTGTCCAAGTGGCAGAGTCAGGATCCTCACCATTTTGCTCAGGCATCAAATCCTACGGACTTTCTAAGACAGCACCTGACTCATGGCAAAGTGATCAAGAAACAGAATCCCCTGGTGTTCAGGCCAGAGCTGGCCAGACGGTACAGAAGATTATAAGCATTGGTTTTCAAATGGTCTGGCCTATAGAATCATCTGAGAGGGCTTATTGGGAATAAGAAAGAAATACTACCATTTAGATGGTTGGTGTCAGAGACTACACAGGAGTGAGTTTAGAGATGAGCTCTGTGAAACTGCAAACCAACACTGTTCACCATTCTGATCAGTTAGTCAGGAAAATCAGTTTCCTTCTGAATTCTGTTACTGACATTAGTGACTGAACAACCTTGCACATATTACTTAGAGAGCTCAAGTTCTTCACCTGTAAACCAGGGTAAGTAATAGCCAACTCTTCAGGCCAGCAGGAGCTGAAGGTAAGTAAATACCAGTTGCCATTCCTACTTCTCTAGGGCATATTGTATCTTAAGCTTCTCAGGATTTCTGAAGCTCTGTCATTTCTCTGGTAGGCCTTCAATTAACCAGGTCTACCATTGTCTTCCTGATATTTGAAATGATTATTCCTGGTGGTTTGGGAGGCCCCTGGAAATCCAAAGAACAACACTATTGAGGAGTTGTGCCACAGTATAGACAAAGAGAGACAGCCAGAGAAACAGCCAGGTAGGTAAGTAATAGACAAGTAATACTCACAACAGAGAAGTCAAATAAGTAAGACTGGTGTAAAGTAATAAAAACAGTATTGATAAAAAGTTCAGACATATCAACACCTTTTAAAATCAAAGTATCCAAAATTTGATGATAGTTATTTTCTTTTCTGTCTCACTCCAGTTTGTTTGTTTTATCCAAGAAAAATCCAGTAGAGATGACTCCTGGCAGTTTTCAAGGTAAGAATTTAACCCCAACTTTAACCTCACTTTTGAGCTCCTTACTTTTGTGAGTGGAAGGATGTCTGTGTGATTCCAAAGTCTAAGTCTCCTCTACCCCAAAGCAGAAAGAAAATCGTATTACTTTAGGAAATGTTAAAAATATATTTCCACAGGGCTCCAGGAGTTAACTTCTACTTTGAATGACCTACTTTGAATGGAGGCTTTCTTTCTAGGGGGCTTACTTAATGAAAGTCAGCCAGGAACGCCAACCTTGGGGCCTGGTCTTTATACTTCAGTTGCAAACAGTCAGGGAGTCCAAGCTCCAGGAAAAGAAGATTGAAAACATTTCGTCTTTTAATTTTCTGTGGGTCGGTATCCTGATTCCTTCTCCCAAAAGAATGAAAGGATCTTTAACAATTGAGTTAAGGGCTTTCTTCTTGCCCCTTTGATGCTATACAGAAGGCCCTGACTTCCACGTTAGAAACACATTTTTCCTTGCTGCTCAGGTCTTTCCTAATGATCATTTATGACAAGGACATGACCATCAGATGATCACTCACAAGAGATGGCCTAATGAGTTTACCTGAACAGCGTGGAGAGCACCAAGAGATCTGGGCTGAGGTGTCTGTCTCCTGTGAGGAGGGGCGGTAGCGCGGAGACCTTGGGGTGGTGGAAATCAGTAAGGCGGTGGGTTGAATTCTTCTCAATGCTAAGCAGTACCCTTCAGCAGAAAACCTCCTGATAGGTCCGTTTTAGGCTTGGTTTCCTGTGAAATGCAGCCACAGACCTGAGAGGTCTGACCTGAGGGCTGGCAGGACTTCCTCTTCTTAGGCTGGAGTGCAATATGTGAAACTCTTTCAGAGGCTGAAATCCTCCAACCCAAAGGGTGTGTTTAAAGACACACGGTGTCCTTACGTGGCACTTCATAGTTACCAGAACACAATCAAAGGAACTGCTGGGCAACACTCAAGCATGGAAGGTGGGTTTTGTGAGTCTTACTTAACATGCATAGTGGACATTAACTATCTTGTAGCTAAATTTTGCAATGGCTTCCTGAGATCTCCCCCCAGACACAAGGACCAGGTGTTGTGGAGAGAACCTGGGAACTAAAGGATAAATGCCTGCCGTGTTAATTATTAGCTATGGGATCTTGGACGCTTTGAAGTTTATTTCTCAAGTAGTTTGAGTGATAATAATATTTGTATTTTAGAAACTTTTTTAAAAAATGAGGGATAATTGAGGATGATATTTCCTTCATTGAGGAAATGATATTTCCTCAGTTGTGATGGAAGGATAATAACATTTATATTTTAGAAATATTTTAATAAATAAACAAAATATTGTAAATAAAGGCATGCAACAATGTTTGGGCACATATTAGCTGCTTAATATATTTTCCTTCTGCCTTAATCTTGGTCCATTTAAGCTGATCTAGCCGAGTGCCTGTTTTCCATTCTGGGGATGTGACATTCTAGTTTTATATAAATTGATGTTGAATTCCATAACAAACCCCAACGTTATTTACAGTAAATTCAAAGGTAAAAGTTTGTATTTTCTTGGGTAAATAACTCTGGTTTTGACTTAACAGACACCCTAAGGAAAACATGAAAATAAGCACTCTTTGAACGCTAATTATGAGTCAGTTACATTGCTAAGCAACTTGCAAGCATTATCCTCCTTAATCTTACTAATAACCGTGCAAGGAACATATTTTAAATCCCATTTTGTAATTGTGAAAACTGAAAACTAGGGAGACTTAAGTAGGTTAACCACTTTATTAATTAGCTTTTGCTGCATTAGGAGCTTAAAGCAGTAACCATTTTATTTAGTTCATAATTGTGTGCGTCACTTGCTCACTTCTTTTGGTCTGCACCTGTATTAATTTTCTAGGGTTTTCATAACAAAGGACTGAGCCCTGAGTGACTAACAAAACAGAAGACTGAACTGTATTGTCTAATAGTCTGGCCTCTGGAAGTCTGAGATCAAGGTGTCGACCAGGTTGGATCCTCCTGAGGGCCATGAGGAGAGGATCTGTTCCAGGCCTTTAACCCCGGCTTGTGGGTGTCTTTATATCCTTGTTATTGTGTTTACGTGGCATTCTCCCTGTGTTTAAGTCCAAATTTCCCCTTCTGAGCAGGACAGCAGTCACAGTGAATGATGGCTCACTCTAATCACCCAATTTTAACTTTATTACCTCTTTAAAGACCCTGTCTCCAAGTCAGAAGTCATTCTGAGGTATGGAGGGGTTAGGACTTTAACAAATGAATTTTAGCAGGGACATATTTGACCCATAACAAGACCTGATCATCTGGTCTGTGCTAGTGGTTGAGAGGCTGTTGGATGATCTAGGATGATCACATTCATACATGTGTTGGTTGACAATCACGTCAGCCAGGTGCCTCTGTTCTCCTCTGCATATCTAACAGGCCAGCTTGGCCCATTTACATGGTGAATTTGGGCCTCCAAGGGCAGTGGGAGAGGGGAAGCCCCAGCCACCAGCCTTTTCCAGGCCTTTGCTTGCATCCTAGTTGCCATGGTCCCATTGGCCAAAGCAAGTCACATGGCCAAGTTCGGAGTGAATGTGGGAGAAGATTATTCAAGGGGTGAATGAAGAAAAGTGAATTATTGTGGTATTTATTGACAAATAATCTAAAATCCATATTCACATCCAATTGGTGGCCAGACTGCAATAAGAACCCAAGTCTAATGATATGAATATTCCTGCTTTTTACCAAGGAAGAATTGAAGACAGTTTGGTCTAATGGCAAAGTTGATAATAGTGTAGGTGGTATTTATAGCTTTTTTTTCTTGGAATATCATTCATTAATTTATTATCTGTTGAATATGTACCATGCATCAGGAGCTCTATTAGGTGCTGAAAAATACAACTAGGTAAGAGAGATACCTAATCCTTTGATGGAGTTTATAGCCTAGAAGAGGTTAAAATAAATGAATGGACTTCAGATATATATAAAACTACAATTTGTGGTAAATGCAATGAATAGTGCCTGATCAGATATGTATTGATTTAACAAATAGATATTCACATCCACTACCTACTTCTGTCAGGCACTGGACAAGTTGTGGGGATATAGAGGTGAAAAAAAACACTTGTCCCTACTTTCATGGAGTTTCGAATCTAATAGAATAGAGAGGTATTGGACAAGAAATCAACCATCAAGATAATGTATTCAGAGATAGGAACAAAGAGGGCTCTGAAACATGTGTTTTACTCTGTGAATTCAGACCAGATTTCCTCTGGGGAGGTGACAGGAGAGCTGAGGTGTTGATAATAAGTAGAGATTTGCTGGACCAGAAGTGGAGAAAAAAGGGGAGGGAAGAGGAGAGAAGGAAGGAAAGAAGAAACAAAAGAAGTCTTCTAAGAAAGAAGGAAGCAGCAAAGGGAAGAGGAAGGAGAGGAGAAGGGAAGGAGTAGAGGAGGTGTCCAGGAGCATATTCAAGGCCAAAGATATTGTCAGTCTGGATGTCTGGGTGGGAAAAACAGCGTAGCTCACTGAAGGAGCCTATATAGCGAAAGGTGGCTGGAATGGAGAGGGAGCAAGGAAGAGCGTGGCATAAAAGCAGCAAGAGAGTCTCAGTGTCAGGCCAGCTGCAAGTTCCAATCTGCACGTTCTTGCTGCCTGTCCCACATTCCACAGTTAGAGGGACTCCCTTGCGTTCATCTTCACTTTGGATGATAATTCATTTTGTTTTCATTGCTTCACGAGTTCTTGCCTCTCATACCCCATTTCCCTCTTGCATAGTTTGTTGGGTTCATGGACCCTGAGTCATAATAAGAAGTATAAATCCAGAGAAGTTTGGGTTTTGCCAACCAAGTTACAGTTATCCAGATGTATCACACAGTGGCTGCCTAGAATCTGGGCAAGGAATTTGACCGTTCTGGGCGCCTTATGTAACTTGAGGATGATAATGCTTACTTGGAGGAGTGGCTCTTAGGATAAAATTGCTTACCTCCTGCAACGGGCTAGTGTGTGCCTGGCTATAAGTAGCATTAGCCCCCTTGGCTTTTGTTGGGCCTGTCTCACAGTGCCACTAAAGCATAGCATGGAACCGCCAGAAATACTCAGTTGTGGATAAGTGATTTAATAGGGGATGCACAATGTGTGTAGAGCTGAATCTGCGGTCAAAAGGGATATTTCTGAGTCAGTGCTTGACCTAGTGATTCTGCCAAGTTTTCACTTTCTGGATAATCTACTCAAGCATGAAACTCTTGGGTAGATCATGTGGAAGAAATACAGGGAGGAAACAAACAAACAAACAAACAAGGGGGAGAAAACCCAAACAGTACTTTTAAGGTCAATCATATTCAAGGAGGACCATGGTGCCTGGATGACTGGGAAAGAGCTTTTCCTGGCTCTTGCACGGCCTGCTGGGAGGCTAATTTGCAAGGCTGTCAGGTTTTGGAGTTACACTGGCTTAGGTCAAATCCCACCCAGTTACACTAATTGGATAAATGTAGATGAGTTTTATAAACTGACTGATTCTCCCCTTTTTCCCCTTTAAAAAGAGGTATAATACTACTAACCTCCTGGCATTGTTAATGCATGAAATGATAAAATTCTCTTGCAAATACAAGCAGGTAAGAATATATGGGCATTACACATCTGTGAACAACCTGAAATCTATTCAAACAGAAGATGTTTAAAAATTTTTTAAGCTTCGGCTATGCATTTAGTGCACATGAGAAGAAACTGACATTTTTATCTATGCTTTAAATATCATTTTATTATTTTAACCTTTTAATTTTGAAACAATTATAGACTCATAAGAAAAAAAAAAGTACAGAAAGGTCCTATGTAGTACCTATCACTCAGTTTCCCCCCGAGAAACAGATTTCTTATGAATAAACATTTTGTGCAGAAACAGATTTGATTCTTAATTCACTTCCTCTTTCTAAAATTGAGGCAATGTGCTGGGGGAAAAATAAAAGATGGCAAAACCTTACCTAACCTTTCCATTTTCTCGCTGTTTTTGCTATCTAAGTTTTCTTTTCCTTTCTTTCTTTCTTTTCTTTCCTTTTTTTTTTTTTTGTGGGGGCGACGAGGTCTTACTCTGTCACCCAGACTGGAGTGCAGTGATGTTATCACAGGTCACTGCAGCCTTGAACTCCTGGGCTCAAGTGATTCTCCTGCGTCAGCTCCTGAGTAGTTGGGACCACAGGCACACAACACTGCACCAGGCTAACTTTCTTTAGTTTTGTAGAGATGGGATCTCCCTGTGTTGACTAGACTGGTCTCAAACTCCTGATCTCAAGAAATCCTCCCACCGAGACCTCCCAAAGTGCTGGGGTTACAGGTGTGAGCCACTACACCCTGTCCTTTTTTGAAATGTTTCCAACAAGACAAATTAAAATGAAGAAAGAAGTCCCTGGTTTTGGGGAAACACCCTGACATCATTCAATGTTTGATTTCCTCTTTTCAGCTGGTAATGACTGCCAAGTTCAGGCTCCTATCAGACAGCTGGTCTCAGGCTGGTATCAAGGTCTGGGATAGCACCTTGCAGCTTACACAAACATACGCCCTCAAAACACAAAAGAGAACTACTGAACACAATCAGAAAAGGGTGTGTTGTTTGTTTTAAAAATTCCTAGTTCAGAGTGCTATCTCCTGCAATGGATCAAAATCCATGCATTTTTTTTTTTTTTTTTAACAAATTATATGAGTGGAAACCTGTGTTAATTAGTGCCAGCATCTCTGATTTATTACAGTTTAGCACCTGTTTACATTGGTGCCTCAGGCAGTTTGACTCCAGGCCCTTGAG